ACTGAAGTTATTTTCAAATCATTTTATATGAAAAATGGTGTAGAGTTGAAAAATAAAAATTACATATTAAAAAACTATATCAAAAGATCTACAAAACTAGAGGTGACATGACTATATTATTTTATCAAATGGGTGACAAAAATAAGCCAACAAAGTGAATAAAGTTTGACCCTGTGAATAGTGAATGTAAAGTTTATTTGTGGACGGAGGGAGTAATAAACAACTATGCAAAACAAAACCATACGAAACATACAACTTACAATAGACTACTATTTCTTATAAGTTTAAAAACAGTTCTAAACTGAAAAACCAGACTACTGTTTATAAATAGTAGTCTTAACTAATTTTTGACAACTGTGACAACAAAAACTGTATTTTTAGATGAAACGAACTACTAGTAAAAGATTACCGTTTCGCACAACTTTAAAAACAGATCTACCCTTACTTCATAGACTACTATTACAAAAGAATCTTCTATTCCCATTAGAAACAATAGTGGCAAAAAAACCATATGAAACAAACAACTAGCGATAGATAACTGTGTCTAATAAGTTTAAAAAATGTTCTAGAGTAAAACACCAGACTACTATTTAAATAGAGTATTCTTAACTTGTTATTAACAACTGTTGTAACAAAAGCTGTATTTTGAACGGACACAGACAACTAGTGATAGATTACCATTTCTCAAAACTTTAAAAACAGTTTTAAAGCAAAATAGCTAGACTACTGTTCTGTTGCCAAGAAAAACTTACAGTAGTATGTTTTTTTCCAACTACTATGTTTCCATTAACAGTAGTTAATCAACAGTCATCTGATACTGTTTTTGGCGTAGTGATTGCTTGCATGGTGTTGTATGATCGTGTATGTTTGTAGTATTACTCTGTAAATTGGTTCAAGCCTTGGATATATTCTCACTCAACTTTCACTTGAGCGTGTAATCTTTGTTGTCTGGGACTGCAAGCAGGAATAAATTAGATATTGGATGAGCAGCCTGGTGGACAGTGATGCTCAGCAAAGTTGGTGGCCCAAAGCTATTTATATTAAATTAATTATTTTATTGAACTAATTTATTTAATTACAAAAATATTTTAATGATGTTACTTTAAAGGCTAGCTTCTGCAACGTTTAAATTTATTTTACTCCGATAAGACTTGTGTTTTAGATGAATATTTAATTTTTTTTAAATGTTGAACTTTTATTCATGTCTTAAAATATTGTGCATGTGGATTCTAATTAGTGAGATATTGATTCACTAATTCATTAATTCGGAATACGTAAGTTGAGGTGTTTACATTTTGGTATTGGAGCATTTGGTTTTAAAAATGATTTTCGACCTAAAATTTAATCATTATTTTCAAAAGATAAAAAAATGACATCCACAGCTTTACGACGTCATGACGCCAGAAGTTATCCTAATCCCTTATTATGTATATATGTGATAATTGTTATCTTTGATAATTACTTGATTCGTTTGTTTAATATATATATATATATATATATATATATATATATATACATATATATATATATATGTATATGTATGATACACTCACACACACATATATATCTATGTATGTATGTATGTATGTATATGTAACTTTTAATAAGTCTTTGTTTTGTATGCTTTGAATTCTTAAAATATTATTTATTCTACTCTGATGTTGATGTATATAGTATTAAAAATCATGTAAGAAATTTATTTTCTTTAATCCGCAAAAAATATTACATAGGAAAAAAATAAGAATCGATAAAAAATTTGTTCGAACCCGTGCATGGAACGGGTCAAAATATAGTATACTAGTATATATGTAAAATTGAGTGTGCTGGTTGTGGTGTTGACATGTGGCATGCCACATGTGCATCCACATGTGCACTAATTGATGAGATGGAGGCACTTCATTGGTTCATTAAGCTTCTTTTTTTAAGATCTTTTAATATATTTTATTGTATTATATTAAATGAATATTATATTTTAGCATGAACAAACATTGCTTTGATTATATTCTGTATAAAACTTTAATATTTTCTAACGATCTATAAATATATGTTTCACTATTGTAAAATATACTCCGTATTTTAAATATGTATATTGATTGTAAAATTTTAAAAAAGAGAATGTATAAGACTCTCCATTATTAATTTAAAAATATTTCAATTTCAAAAAATGAAAAAAACATTTCACCTTCAAAGATATTAAATTTTTTTTGGCATTTTTATCTTTTATTTAATGTAATACTTTTTTTAATAAAATAGTTATAGAATTTTTAGTGCATGTACATCATTATTTAAACTATACTTTTTATTTAAAAAATATACTCCGTATATCTTAGAGTAAAAAAATATTCATTTAAAATAAATAAAATTATATTTATAAAATATCAAAAATTTAGAATGTATACGAGCCCGTGCGAAGCACGGGTTGACAGTAGTTTATTTATAAAGTACGCTTGTGAATATATTATTTTATAAAAAACTAAATTAATTGTCTTGTAAAAATTTAAAAAAGTAATTAAGATATTCAAACTTAGAATCTAGTTTTAATTTAATCCGGCCACTAATCCATATTCACTAATGTGATCAAAAGCAATCTCACAAGATTTTACTCTCTTTTTTAGGCAAGGTGAAGAAACTTCATTCGAACGAAATCAAAAGTGAAACAAAACTAGGTCGATAAACATTCCATATCTAGTCAAAGTAGAAAGAACAACGGATAAAATTGAAAGAAACAAAAACGAAGAAGTGCATTAACTCAAAATAATCTTCAAGGATAGACTCCAAACAGGAAAAACAAGCAAAGTTTCTTCCTTGCTTCAATGCGCGAACCAAGATCTCATAATTAGAAAAAAAATTTAAACATCTTGCACCCCTCCATCTTTCAATCAAGATAAGGCCTCTTTGCAAGCAACCGCCTCAACCATCAAAGGAACCAACACTATGGCAATTCATGTTTTCATTCCTGAAATAGGACTTCACACTGTGGTATTGTGGTTATAATGTGTCATTGGACATGTGTAGATTACTTTTTGGTTATTGGGCCTGTTTGGGAATAGCGTTAGAGATTAGCGTTAGCGTTTTGGATAAAATTTTAACGGTGCAGATTACTTTGAAAACGCTAACGCTAAACGCTGCCCGTAGATAGCCTTTTCAAAACGCTAACGCTATTCCCAAACAGGCCCAATGTACATAACCATGTTTAGTAATGTAAATGCATTTTAACTCTTTTTTCGGGAATAAAAACATGGAAATCCTATTTTGGTATATTTTCAATGTTTTACTCTTACTTTAGTCTTTTTCCCAAAATAAAATTACTCCGTGTTTTGTTTTGTTCTAAGAAAAGAAACCTTATCCTAAATGGGCTATTTGATTACTTTTTCCGTCCCAATTTAAATCGTCTCGTGTTGTTTATGAGAGTTGATTGAAATTATTTTTAATTCAATTTAATTAACAAATAGCATGGAATTAAAAAATAAAATTTATATATTTAAAAAACTACATCACAAGTTTTACAAAAGAAGATGTGACAAGACTACATTATTATCTCAGATGAGTAGTTAAAATAAATAAAGAACATGATTAAAATTTGATTGTATAAATAGTATATATGTATCTTAAATTGGACGGATATAATAGTACATTTTTATTATTCTTAGTAGAGTTTTATTTTATTTATACTGCAATAGTTTGTGCTGGAAATGTAAACAAATTAAATACGGAGTATTTTGCTCGTGTTCATAGAGTACTTTGGTTAAAATAAGGAAACATTATCTAGAATAATCCTAACTTTATCCGATCTTTCAAAAATAATCTCACCTTTCATTGTAATGCATAATAATCCCAATTTTACTGAAATTTACGAGTTTTGAATCGCCATTAAGTTGCTAATGGTGGGTTAATGGAAACGCATGTTTTGCGCAATAAACTAAAAGTTTGGATTATTATATTTTTGATGAATTTTTGTTTTTTAATTTTTTTTTTGAAATTTTCATTTTAATTTTTAAAATTACTTCCTACCCCCATCATTTCTTTTTTTAAAGATTAGTCTTACTTTTTAAAAAATAAAAACAATAGATATAAAATATAACAAAAATGAGAAAATTAACTAAAACAATACAAAATTAATAAAATAAATAAGGTAATCGATAAAAACTAACTTGAAACTGATAAGAATTAAAATAAAAATATTCGAAGTGGTGGGTTTTAATATTTTACGTAGTATAAAAAGTATTAATGTACCACTTTTTCTTATTCTTTAGAAAATATATATAGAATAATTCCAGCTTTTAGCGGCAGGCCTATTCTTTCAAAAAAAAATAATTAGTATATCAGGACTTTATATATTGCGTAAAATGTTAAAACCCATGACTCCATATATATACTTATTTTATTTATTACCAGTTCCAAGTTAGTTTTTATTAATTACTTTATTTATTCATTTATTTTGTATTGTTTTAGTTATTTTTATAATTTTCAATATTCTTTATATCTATTATTTTTATTTTTTTAAAGTAAAACTAATATTTAAAAAAAAGAAAAAGAAATGGAGGTAGAAAGTAATTTTAAAAATTTAAATGAAAATTTCAAAAAAAATATAAAAACAAAAAATCTTCAAAAAATAATCCCAACATTCATTTTATTATGCAAAACAAGTCGTTTCCGTTAATTCATCGTTAGCAACTTAACGGTCAGTAAAATTGAAATTATTATTGATCACAGTGAATAACAAGATTATTTTTAAAAGACCAGATAAAGTTAGAATTATTTTGGATAATTTTTTCTAAAGATAATAATAATAATAATAATAATAATAATAATAATAATAATAATAATAATAATAATAATAATAATAAATGAATTATTTAGCAATTAGGAAATAACGAAAATTGGCGGTACTAAGACCTTTTGGAGTGCGGAGTCTTGAGTTTGTTTCCAAAATCCGGCTGCTCTCCGACTTTTCCTCCACCCTAACCCTATATATGTTTCCTGTAATTCGCTCCAGGCATGCCGTCTCTGCGTTTTTTCCCTCTTTAAAGAAGAAGATCCGACTCATATACACCTTCACGCTCGCTTTTTCTTTTTGCCGGAACACTGACGATTTCCAAAACGGTTCAAGATCATGGCTTCGTCCGCCCCCCTCGCCGATCCAAAATCCGTCACCGTCCGAGAAGTCTGGGCGCATAATCTCCAATCGGAGTTCAAAATCATAGAGAAGGTTGTCGATTCGTACAATTACGTGTCGATGGACACCGAGTTTCCCGGCGTCGTGTTTAAGCAGGAGGGGTTTCCTTGCCCCGGGGGACGCCGGTGGCGCTCCGCCGCGGAGCAGTACATGCTGCTGAAGATGAACGTTGACGCTCTGAATATCATCCAGATCGGATTGACCCTATCCGACGCCGACGGGAATCTCCCTGACGTCTGCGGCAACGGAGGCCGGTGCATCTGGCAGTTCAACTTCTCCGACTTTGATTGGGAGCGTGATCTCCACTCTTCGGATTCCATCGAGCTTCTCCGCCGCCAGGGCATAGACTTTGAGAAGAACCGGAAGGAGGGGATCGACTCGGCCCGGTTCGGCCAGCTGATGATGTCATCCGGCCTGCTCTTCAACCAGCGCGTGAGCTGGGTCACGTTCCACAGCGCGTACGATTTCGGCTACGTGGCGAAGATCCTGACGCAACGACCGCTGCCGAATCGGCTGGAGGACTTTTTGGTAATTCTACAGACCTACTTCGGGACCCGGGTTTACGACGTCAAGCACCTGATGAGATTCTGTGAGAGCCTCTACGGAGGGCTGGACCGGCTGGCCGGAGCGCTGGAGGTGAGCCGGGCGGTTGGGAAGTGCCACCAGGCCGGTTCCGATAGCTTGCTGACCTGGCACGTCTTCCAGAGAATGAGGGATCTCCGCCTTGTTAACGGCGGCCTGGAAAAGTACGCCGGCGTTCTGTACGGGTTAGAGGTCTACGGTGGGATGGTCTATTGACAACAAAAAAAAAAAGGGTTACTAAAGTAAATAAGGTCTCTAGTTATCTTACTTATCTCTTTCTGGGTGTACTTTAGTTTTACATTAGTGTTAATCACAGACTCTATTCAATTTCAAATTCATCCATTGCTCCATTATTAGCATTAATTTTCTCGGAGAAAATAGTTTTAGTTTCAAATTTGAGTAAATTACATAAGTATGATTTTATTAGAGAGAGTTTTGTGTAATTGGTGAATTTAGTCTCCTTTATTAGGATACATCTAGTCTTTAATTTTTGAAAATTATCTAACAATACTCTTTTAGGGGACTATTTGTTGAAAAGAACATTTGGTAATATTTGCTCTCTTAAATAACTAATTATGAAATAATTTTTAAAAATTGAAAACCATGAATATAATATTTTTACAATTGGGAATTAAATATAAAAACATCCTGTTATGAGAGATTATTTATAGAATTTACTTTTTAAATTTTAACAATATAGCAATTTTTTTTAAAAAAAAGAAAGTAAAAGAGATTTTGAGATGATTCAAATAAAAACAAAAAAATGATGTTATTAAGGCATGTCTATACTCTTATCCTGCTTTGACAAAAAAAAAATAAGAAAACCCCCTAAATAGGAGTAAAACATGGATCATATCCTCAAAGTAGGAGTTCAAACTTAAACTCCTTCAAATAGGAGTAATTAATTAAAGATGTGTTTTGATTAGCCCTGCTCACGTGCTGGCCGCACAAACCACTCCAATCGAAATTATCGCCCCTTCCCGATCGCGATCTTCAATCTCAAGTACCGTCGTCGATCTTCTTCATTCCATCCCAGTTGCTGCCGCCTTCACCCCCAATCTCAAACCCCTCTCTGCCGCAATCGTCATCTCCGTGCGACGATGATTCCATCTCACTCCGTCCATCTCCCTTTCTCTCAATACAAACGATCTCCTTCCAGCCCTCTCCACCATTTTCGTCGCCTAGCCTCTGAGCGACGATGCTTCCATCACCTTACGTAAGTTTGAATTCAATTTATATTCAATTTGACATAAGTGGTTACATTCAATTTTAAATCTCTGAAAATTTACTTCTTAGGGAATTACTTCGTAATATAGGTACTAATTCTTTCAGCCATGGATAAGTTTGAATTTAATTTTATGTTCAATTTGAAATAAGAGGTGACATTCAATTTTAACTGTGAATTTACTTCTTAGGGGATTTTTTTTGTAAAATTGGTATTGAAACTTAATGATTATGGTGTTGGCAAATAGTAGAGTTTCTTGACATTTACCCCTTTTTGACATTATGCATTAACATCTGTGATGTATAACATTATACATTGACATTATACAATGTCAAGGTTGGCATTATCTATTTAATTTGTTTAGCATTATGCATTCGCTTGTATGATGTTATACATTGGCATGATTGCCATTATATGATTACATGTGGCATTTAGTGTGATCTTTTTTGACACTGTATGAATATTTTAATGTAGCAATTTACTAAATTTTAATATGTAAGATATTGATTCATTTTTGTTGATGAAGTTTTGGGTGTGTTTTGTTATTGATTTAGTTTTGTTTACATTCAAATTTGTTATTTTTTGTTGATTCAGTTTTGTTAATGATTCAATAACAATTTACTGTAAATCAAGATGACCAAACGAGAGTTCTTACCAACAACACGCAGTATGGTTATGTTGATGAAGTTTTTCTTTAATAATCATACGATTGATTTGGGCGAGAGTTTGTGGAACTACTTGGTAAAGCAAGGGCAATGTCCACATGATCATGCGCTGGAACTTCTAGTTACAGCATTATGTTCCAATGGAAGAGTTGAAGAGGCACTGGAGTGTTCTAAGCAAATGATGAGGTGTTAAAATAAATTAAATTACATTAAACCACTTGAACACCACCCACTCTAAAGTGACACTAAAAAACTGTATAGCTAAGTTCACAAGTGACTAGCTAGGATGTAGCTCAAATGATCAAACATGGGATATAAATGGACATTGTGGATAATTTTGATATCAGGTAACGATAGTGTGAAAAGTTTATACTTACCATAAGATCCTTTCATAAAGTATGAACAATCTTAATCCTTATTGATGTTAATATTAAAATTTCATTCATATTCTCTTAGAGATAACTATTCGAGTAGGGTTGAGTTCATCTTTTGTTAAATTCACAAGTGGATAGACGTTCATGTCATGATGACAGCATGGTGATCAGATGAGATTCTCCACTACAATGGATTAATTTCTAGCGAATCAAATGAAATGAGGGTTAAACCACTTGAACCAATATTAAGCTCGGTGCAATACCTGACATTATATGTTGCCATGTTTGGCACTGTGCCTTTTTTGACACTATATAGACAATTAATGTCTCACTGCCATTGACAACGACAGTGCAAAGTGTGACGGTAGTGTCAGCGACTAATAAATTTTAATGTGTTTTATTTCTTGCTTTAGGTTGGTAACATGTATGTTCAATTTAGAGAGGAAGATCATGCTGCAAAAGCTCTTCAAAATTTTTCTTGAAGGTTTTATGTCGGTTAGTTGTGATTGTCTTTCTTGTACTTGACCTGTTTTTATATCATTTGTATTCTTTTATTATTTTCTGTACCGAATTAGACATTCTCATTGACTGTTACTATAAATTGGGTAACATTTTCTCCACAAGATCCCATATTTCTATGCTTCTGTGTAAACACACTGCTTTGTACTTGCCCTAAAAAGGTTTGTTCAGATGGTATGTTAGAATAATTTAGAATAAGTGCAACATGTGACAAAAAAAATCATGATTTGAGGTTTAGCATATAAGGGTATTCATGGTTTGTTGTAAGAATGGTCACCTAATGATGTGTTTTGATTGCTTGCAGGGGATGTTTACAGGTATGGTCAACAACGGGGAGACGATTCGGCAGAGTTGGATGAAACACGATAGAGAGGACGTTGCAGCAGAGCAGTGGGGGCAGAACAGGACAACGGTAGGGATGCAAAGGGATGCAACAGAAGGAGGTGGTGGCAGCGGTAAGGGGCTTCGATGACGGTTGCTGGAGGTTGAGACTTGGAGGTGAGCTGTTTTTGCTGAATTTTTTCTAAGTTCTAGAGTTGCTGGAGGTTGAGACTTGGAGGCTTGGAGTGTATGGGTTTGATTTAGTTTTTGGGGTTAAAAAATTAAAGTCATTGTTAAGTTAATTACTCCTATTTAGGAGAGTTTAAGTTTCAACTCCTATTTTGGAATATGACATCTCTGTTACTCCTATTTTGGTCCATCTCCCAATAAACATTCATATTTATTGAAAAACAATTCATCTTTTAATCGGAGTAAATAACTGAAACGTTACGGAAGCCCTCAAAAACAACATTCAACATTCTAGTAATTTAAATAAACAAATTCAACACCCTATATTTAATTTAAATAAAATAGCATCAGCCATCCACCAGCGTCACGCCTCACTGTCCTCCAGGCTGCTCATCATCCAATCCTTGATCACTACCTGTAAAAATAGGGAGAGTGGAAGTATCTAACGCTAAAACTAACTCATAGATTAGCACCCATTAATATATAATCAAACAATATCAGAAGAATCAGCAAATATCATTATCCAACTGTACCACTATATATATCCTTATAATTCAGTTTAGTTCTTATGCATACTTACTCCATCTGCCTGTTAATACAATCCAATTCATACTTACAGGAGTAATGGAATCCAGGCTCTCGCCCAAACCCACACTCATAACTCCAAAGTTTTCACAATGGAGGGGGTTGAGGCCCCCGCTGGCTCTCGCCAGGGGTCAATGACCACCGTGCGCACGTTTTTAACCCTCGAGACCACCGGATGAACGACGTCACCCACGTGACCTTATTCTCTAGTTTAGTCCAACTTGTGATTCCCAATATCTAATTCAACTCAAATCCACCTAATATTATTAAGAGGTCAGTTTCATAATTTCCTACTTAACTTATAACTAGCCACCAATTCATTAGTTAGCACCTCTGGTTTAATTTGTAGTAATTGCCTACCTTTATGCTCAAATTATAAGAAAGGACTGAATTGCAACTGTTAACAATCCTAGAGGTCAAATTATAATTTATAAAAACTTAATCTTTGAGTTCTCATTGGCTTTCTTCTTCGACGCAACACCTTCTGCGATGCAGGAGTACATCAGCGGCATTATCTGCGGTGAACTCCGTTTTAGCAGAGAAGAAAGACGAGCAGTGGCTTGACGGCAATCTCCAAGTTCCGGTGAACAGCCGCTTCAAGTTCCAACGACAACACCAGTGACCAAACAGCCCCCCGGCAGTGGGAACCTCTCTGCCGGTGTTCCGAGTTCCGGCGGCCAACAGAGGAGCAGGGCAGGAAACAGAACAGAACAGAAAAGGAAAGAACAGAGACCGAACGGAAAAACGAGAGGAGGAACAATCCAATCCCAATTTCCCAAAAACCAATGTTAATTTCGAATCCAAACACAATTAATCACACAATCCGATAACCATAATCACAAATTCAACGTCAATTTAACGAGAATATATCAACGAATCCTAATATACGAATCAATTTTAACCAGAGATACATCACTCACCTTGATTAAATTGGCAAATAAATCTCAATTGAATTAATGCAGACTCCGGCAACCTCTGTGTAGCTCCGGCGATTTCTCCGGCGAAACTCCTAGTCTGGCGTGCGAAGAGTGAAGAGAAGAAGGAAGATCTTGGCCGGCGAAGTTCCCCTCTGGTTGCGTGTGAAACGAAGGAGAAGACCATGACCATATATGCCTAACCTATGTCCGTTCCTTTCCCTTATTTTTTTTTATTATTATTATTATTATTATTATTATTATTATTATTATTATTATTATTATTATTATTATTATTATTATTATTATTATTATTATTATTATTATTATTATTATTATTATTATTATTATTATTATTATTATTATTATTATTATTATTATTATTATTATTATTATTATTATTATTATTATTATTATTATTA